AAGGGAAGCAGTATGTCCCCAGGAAGGGCAGGGGAGCCGCAGCTGCCCAAGGCCTCTCTTCTCCCAGAGTGGGGGTACTGACAACCCGCTTCCTAACACAAGGCCAGGCTCCTGGGAGAGAACGAGGGAGGTGGCTGTTCAGCGCAAGAGACTTGTCCTTGGAGCCTTCTCCTTGGACAGGTGGCCTAACCTCAGGGACACAGCAAATTACCTTCTGAGCTCACGTCTGCTTTCCTTAATCTAAAGCAAGGATTCCACCACCTCCATCCTGGAGGGTTGTTGCGGGAGCTGCTTAAGGTCGTAAGAATCTAGAGCAGTGATGGCGAACCTTTTAGAGACCAAGTGCCAAACTGCAACCCAAAACCCACGTATTTATTGCAAAGCGCCAACAGTGCAATGAAACCTGAATACTGAGATCTTAAAAACACAGTAACACACGTGCCATGTCCTCACCACCACTGCTCAGTCAGTGCGACTCTCCTTTCACCCTAAGAACACCCCCCAGCTTCTCCCCGTCCTCTTCACCCAGGCTCTCCCCCCAGCTCTGCCCACACTTCCTCACCCTTTCCCCTGGCAGCAGTTACAGTCAGCTCCCACGTAAATGGAAGTCCGGTCCTGGACAACCGAAGGGGAGAAGACACACCCTGGTGCTGCTGACTGAACTGAGGACTTCTGCCCTGAGCTGCATCTCCAGGATTTTTTATTTTTGAGACAGGGTCTTGCTAAGTTGTCCAAGCTGGGCTCGAATGCTAGCGCTCACCCAATGGGCACACTATCCAAGCATGAAAGACTAGCCAGGGTGCACGAAGAGCTATGGCTTATCTTTGGTATGGAAGTCAAGAGTAAAACCAGTCCCCGTGGGAATGACTTCCACGTACAGCTGTCACCACGCCCTCATCGCGAGGTTCCCCTGAGAAAGGTTAGAATGCGAAGGGCCCAGTGCTCTACGCCTTGGGGCTTTGCTATCCCGCTGTTGGGTACAGCCTTGGACCCTGAGTCATGGACAAAGGGTTATCGCGTGGGGTCACACCTGGACACTCACATCCCAGGGCTAAGCTGCAGCTCCTCACTGAAATCTCCTCAAACATCCACTCAAGCAAAGCTGCTTCCAGAAAATTTCTGATTATCTACAGAAAAAGCCCTTCTCCTTCTTCTACCCTCTGAACATTCACCCTGAGCCTCCCAGGCAAGGGATTGATAAAAGCGGGGAAGTGAAACCAAACCCAGTCACAGAACGCTCCACACTGGATGTGCTCAGCATGTAGGTGGGAGGCGTACATGCATGACATTCCTTAAAATGTTAAGAGGACGGTAACCATGAACTATGCCACAGTGCATGGCTCCATTGTGGGGCTTGGGAAGGACCAGGCAAGTCAAGAATGCTCCCATTTAGCACGGGTCCGGTAGGCAGCCGAGAGCTGCGCTCAAAGGAAAGACCCCCGTGGGGGCGGGGCATATTTTTCAGGGTACAGATGGGAAACCTGGGATCACAGTCACTGTCGACTAAACAATGATGCAGGACGGAAACCCCACCGCCCTCCCCCGAGACATTCAGCTGGAGAGACCTCCTCTGGCCTGCACCATGCCTGGTCTGGACACGCTCACAGACAAGACCTCGGTGAACCCTCACTTCCAGCGCAGGGGAGTCTTAGCCACCCACTGGAGAGCAGCACAGGTCAGGAGGGGCGAGCCACAGGCTGCTCTGCCATCACCGACGGCCTCAGTTCGCCTTGGGAAAGACAGCCTCCTCCCTCCAGGCAGCTACACTTGAGTACACTGTGCCAGCAGTGTACTGCGAACCTCCCAGACAGGCTGCTGGGCACTCTCGACAGTCCCCAGACACCGGCCCCCAAAGTCAGCCCTCGCCAGACGTCAGGCATGAAAGCCTTTGCATGTTCTGGAATAGCCCACGTTCAGGATCCTGATTCCAATTCTCCAGACTGGGTAAAAAATAACCACAACTTCCCCTGCACTGGGTTCCTCCCCCAGAGCTGTTGAACCTCATCTGGAAACAGCTGGGAGGCAGCAGTTAACAGGAAACCAAACCAAACCAAAAAAAAAAAAACAAAACACAACAGCACAGAGTGTACCAGGGAGGGTTAAGCAGCCAGAACCAAGAGGCCAGGGGACAGACAGGAAGCTGCAGTTACAAGGGACCAAGGCCAGAAACAGTCCACAGAGGAGGAGACCAGCTGGCCTTGCTCTCAGCCCGAGCTGGAGCCCCGTGCAGGGCAGTGGCGCAGGCTCTCAGCCTGCCAAGCGGGAAGTCAGCCCCGCTCTGAGGCTGGTCTTTCTCCCACCGCACCTAACCAGACTTCTCTAAATGCCAACGGGTGGTCGTGGGCTCAAGCACTTCTTCTCTCCAGCTTTTCTGCCCATCTGTACCAAATTCCACGCTGCCAGCAAAACTCAGGCAAGGCCAACTCAGCCTCACACAGAGACAAAGAGCATCTCAGTGGGACCTCACCAGACAGAGCCCACCCGGGTGGTAAGTGGCTGCAGACCCGAGGGAGGAGAGGCAGTGATAAAAGCAACACAGCCGGCAGGGAGTCCAACAGCCAGGTGAGCTTGCACCAAACTAGCAGTGCATTTTGCAATCGAGAAAGTTGGCTGAGAAATGGACAGTTGCCAAAACATTTTTGAAACAAATGGAAATAAAAAAGTCATTACAAAAACTCCCTGGTGGACTCAACCAGCCTCTAGGTTACCCAAACGAAGAGCAAAGGGGAGCACGGCTTATTTTTCCTTTAGCAGAGCTAACTTAGGTGAGAGCTTTTGAGCCTGTACCTCCTGTGACGCCAGCATTCACCCTCCCCTCCATGCAGAAGTTTATGTTAAAGAAGAGGATTAAGTTCTCTTAATAAAACACATTCCTGTCTTTCACCTCCAGTTCTGTTTGAAAGGCTTTCTCAAGGCAGAGTTTATGCTACAACCAAGTGGAGTCTGATGCCAAAGAAAGTGCTCAAAATCTGAGACTGAAGGGCGCCCGGGCTGCAACCTCAGAGCATTTGTCTTTTTTTAAAAGCAGAACATCTTGGGGGCTGGGGATTTAGCTCAGCCACACAGCGCCTGCCTGGCAAGCTCAAGGTCGTGAGTTCGATTCCAGGTACATGAGAAAAACCAAAAAAAAAGCAGAACATCTTCACAGGCTGGATGCCAGCTCCTACTGGCAGGACTTGAGAACCAGGGTGGAGACTGCCCGATGTGCCACGTCAGAGGCGCGGGAGGAAGAGCTCCGGGACCATCATGAGGTCAGACTTTGCAAGGGGAAACGCAAGAGGGGCGCATTTCAGGGATACAACAAAGGAACACGGTGATTGGTCATTCATTCCGCAGGGGAAAATGCCATTCAGGGCCAAGGAGCGAGTATTATAAATCCAGGTAAAGGCATAATGTTTTAACTTGGATTTATCTCAGCGGCTCGCTACTCTCCAAAAAAGGGGCTGGGGAAATATTCCTCCTGTTCTTTACAATGCCACTGAAGTCTCCCAGGACACTTTCTGGGCTGCCCAGAAAGTGGGCTAAGCAGCCAGGGCCTCAAGGATACTAATGCATGAAGCACCACTCGGCAGGGATCTCATCACCAGCTCTGTGTGAGGCTGGGCTGTTCAGGCCACCATAGCCAGTCCAAAGAACTTTACAGCTAAGGCAAAAGTCACCTGAAACAAATACCTAATATATCCCTGGGGAAGGGGAAAACAGACAGAAGTTTTAACCTCGAGGGCCAGGGATTTCTGTTACTAAGAAAAAAGGAGTCTCCAGCACAGCGTGGTGGACATGCCTGTAATCCCAGCTTCCAGGAGGCTGAGGCAGGAGGATCACCAGGGGTTTAAGGCCAGCCTAGGCTACATAGTGAGTTCAAGGCTAGTCCAGACTACAGAGTAAAAAGACCCTGTCTCAAAAAAAAATGAAAATAGTAACAGGAAAAAAAAAAAAGGACTCTCAACTCGGAGCCCCAACAACGTGTTAAGATGCTATCTGGGATGTCTGTCCTGGACACTGCCATTTTCCTTATATAATGTTTCAGGGAAGCCAGAAACCCCTCTAAGAGCCCCAGGGCCCTCCCTCAAGGCCGTCCAATAAGTGCGCTGTGGGGAGCCCAGTCTCCTGGCTCAGGGGCCACGGGAAAAGTAACTAACATTTTAATCCCGCACCCTGGGAGGCTAAAGCAAGGTTGCAAGTTCCAACCTGGCCAGGGGAAACAACAATTTAGCGAGATCTTGTCTCCAAATTAAAAATACAGATTTGGGCATGGTGGCGCACGCCTGTAATCTCGGCCCTCAGGAGGCTGAGGCAGGAGGATCTCGAGTTCGAGGCCAGCCTGGGCTACAACGTGAGCTCAAGGCCAGCCTGAACTGCATAGCGAGACCCTGTCTCAAAAAGACAAGACAAAACAAAACAAAACAAAAAACAGATTAAAAGGGTGAGGGTAGTTCAATGGGAAGGTCCTGGGTTCAATCTCCAGTAATGCGCAAAAAAAAAAAAAAGCAGCTACCATTTATGGAGTACCTAACTCTGTGCCAGGCACTGAAATAAGCACTCTACCCATCTCAGTCCATCCCAAGAGCCCCCTGGAGGCAGAAACTACTGTCATTCTCCCTAAAGGAGGAAGCAGGCTCCACGGTGTTACACAATCCTTAAATAATGGAGCCAGGGCCACAGCCGGCCTCGACAGGTGGTCTTACCCCCGCTGGGTACTGCACACTTGGGGGACAGGGCACACAGCGCCGAGTAACACAAGGTGCGGCCGTACCTGCACCCCTCTCTGGTCCCAGACCCGTGGCCCCCAACCCTAGGGGCAGGGCCTGGACCGGGAGCGAGAAGCCGGAAGAAGCAGAGCGCAGCTACGCGAGGGGCCAGGACCGCGGCGCCGCTCGCCGCCGCAGACCCCGACCCGCGCCTCCTCTCCACGGACCGCGCGCAGCCCCCGGGCTCGGCGGCCCAGCCCTCCCGCGTGCCGAAGGCGGCCCCTCCGGGACGTGGGTCCGGCCGGGTCCTACCTGTAGGCCAGGGTCATGCACTCGAAGAGCTTGGTGAGCGAGGCGTCGATGGACAGGTGGCAGGAGCTGGTCTTGCCGAAGCTGTAGGTCTGGCACGTCTGCTTGTTGACCGTGTCGAAATCGTAGCCCTTCTTGGGCGGGTGCTCGCGGTGCGGCGACGACACCATGAAGTGGCCGCTGTGGATGATCTGCTGGC